AAAAATGTTGTAATCCGACCGAATGCCTATATTTTCACCAACACAATCACGGTAAAAAGCGAAAACACGGACACCAGTTTTAGCAAGAATACAAGTCTCTAAAGTAAATTGGTTGAGACATTTGAAGGGAAATCTGGCGCGAAAAGAGAAAAAAAAGGGAGAGAAAAACAAAAACAAACAATGAACACTTGAAAATATTCCTTTTTGCAATAATTTTTTTTTTTCTTTCATTCACAATACTAACCGAGTGGCACACAACAAAATCTTATCTCCTTCACGGGAAACAATACTGTGGAAATAATTTTTTTCGTACCTCGACATTTTTACTCACGATCAAAAAACACACCTTCTCAATTGAACACCAAATTGAAAATGATACATCTTCAGAAAAAATACACCAGACACCCGAATTATTTCTTTCAAAAAAAGGAAGCCAAAATCGAAAAATTTAATAACCGTACGCGACTTCCGAATTTCACCTTTCCGTTTCGAAGCAAGAATAACACCAAAATATGAACAAAACTATTGTCACATACATACGCTAGACATTGCTTTGCATACATTACATACACTCACAGATCATACACATTGAGACCACAGACAATATCGAACCAAAACATGTTCAGACATATGTTCAAACGGCACGTACCATGAATTCCATAGGAATCAAGACATACAAAATTGAATCAAAAACAAAGATAAACAACGATCGACCGATGAAAGATAGAAAACATCGTTTTCTTTTCTGGAAACAAACTTGGACTTTATATCTATAATATTCAAAAATATTCACAAGAATTCACAGTTTTAAAATTCGAATGAAACACATAGCATCGGTTGCACTTTCAACAACGAATTTAGCAATAGCTTCTTATCGAACAAGATTTGATTTTGCTGTTTGACGACACATTTCAACAGCATATTGGTAACAATGCGTTAACTCACTATAACATTTATTTTCAACATTAACCGTAACTGATTACACAGAAACACTTCAATTTGCTGTGATCGACACGGAACATATTTTTTCAGGTCGAACATTTTTTTCCCCCATTGGATAAAGCACAAATTGTTCGAATGTTCTCAGATAGCCTATATAATCCCCATGGCTCAAACAATAAAAATATTCAAAAATGATTATTCACGTTAGAAAACATTTTTGACGCAAAAGACGAACTAATTCACAATGTGAATTTCACATAACATAAAATCGACCGTCAAACATACGAACCGAGGTCAGTTAAATTTAAAACAAGGTTTAGACGGATTTCAATTTCATTTACAGATGGAGCCAAGAGTATTCGACTGGGATGAAATTCCATTTTACACTCTATTTGCTATATTATTACATTTATCACCAAGGGATATTCAAAATCTAACCATAGCAATACCGTCGATTCAGGATGACTACGAAAGGATAAACGTTTGCCCAAAACAGAAAATTATTTTCAGTTCAGCAACAGACACTTTACGTGTTTTAGAGACCCACACAAAAATCAGAAGAATATTCATAAATATCCGTCATATAGAAAGATTGAAAATACCATACGTATTTCTCTTACTCAGCAAACACCCAAATATCAATGAATTAAAAATTATGGACAACATTCAATTATGTAGAAACATAACAATGGAAATATTATGTCCGACATACGAATATTTAACCACACTTACTATTCAGGGCTTACCCGAATACGCACCAGTGCACAACATTTCAAACTTAATTAAAAAATGTCCAAACTTAATAGAATTATCATATTCTTTTGGAATGATAGAAGATTCAGCTTTAGACTGGCTGCCGAAACTAAAAGTTTTGAGATTGATACAAGTTTATGTCTCGTTATCAAGACTATCAAATTTTTTGATCAAATCGAAAGACACACTAGAAACTTTAGAATATATAAACGACATAGATACAATGGAATTGTACACTCTACAAACTCATATAATTTATGAACATCTACCAATATTAACAAAACTTAAAAGACTGGCAATAATGGCAATTCACGATACCCATGAATACGGAAATTTGGACGCACCAACTCACCTAAATCCCGACGAGAAATTTGCGGAATATCGCATTGCGACTATTCTACGTATAGTCGCAATACGAAAAAGTCCGTCGAACGCAGCCAACTTCACGTTGGTTGTACGAAGTTTCAAGTCGAAATGTCACACTCGATCCAGTTACAACTTCACATTTATCGCAGCGCGAATAGTCGCAGGGTATTCAGCGATAACATTTTGCGGCAACTTTTATTGTGGATACCTATTCGCATTGCGAGTATCCGCACTCAAAAACGGATATGCGACGGATAGTCGACGTACACCTATTTTACCGCAAATTTCTCGTCGGGAATGACTTGTATATTGTTACACAATACAATAGTTGCTTACCGAAACTATATATCGCACTATCACAGATAATTGTAGAGAAAATAGAATTACATGAATGGGAATTCAAAAATAAAAGAACCGAATTCAACGGCCTTTTAATGTCCAGCAAATTGAATATAATAAATCAAATTATGTTGGAACAAACTGGACTATCATACAATGTTTTAATCCCTGATCTCCGTATACAATATAAAGTGAATCCTAAACCGCACGCGAAATTCCCAAGTATGTGAGCAATCACTTCATTTCAAGTATTTCTTTCTAGGATGCACCCATTTCACGTATTTTTCCTGCTATCATTGCCCAACGCTCAAACAGTATTTCAACCAGAATCAATAAATACGGGACTCACTTTCGTTGAAATTAGTAAAGCTGCCATAGTACATACCAACTGGCAGTTAGCCTATTACTATGATCTAAAAAGCTATTTTGAATTAATAAAAAATCTAGAAGAAACAGTAAGCCAAATTAAGGCACTCTGCGCAATCTCAATCAAGAAAAAAGAATGCGAACTGCTGTTGGAACTACTCGAAAATCACTTGGAAAATTCAAAATACAATGCCGAAAGGGTCGAATCATTCAACAACGCCCGTCGGCGGAAACGTGCAATTTTTGGTTATATCGGAGACATTAACGCATATTTATTTGGTTATATGACACAAGAGGATGCAGAAGTCTTAACCAAAAACATCAAAAAATTACAATCAAGAGTAATTAAACAACAAGAACTTTTTGAAAACCAACTCATGATAGTAGAACAGACGGTTAACCTCAACAACAAAACATACAACGACCTGAAAAAAGCAATCTCCGAACTTAATGAAAACTTGAACGAATTCCAAAGAAACGTCACTATAAATGATAAAATTAATACGCTAACTGATATAGCAACACTAATTATAGTTAGTCATTCCCAAATTTCTACCACACTAATGGACATTCTACAAAATTCCGTGAATGGCCAAATAATAAATCTAATTTCACAAAAACAAATTAAAAAAGATTTACAAATGATAACAGAAAATCTAAAAAATCACCAGAGACTTCCAATCAACCTTAGAAATCAGCACCCTTACAACATATTCGCGGTCACAACCTCGAAAGCAACACTATACGACAGAAAAAATTTAATAAAGCTAAATATACCAATAATCGACAGAGATGAACTATTTTTATACAAAACCATACCAATCCCAACAGAAGTTGACGAAAAATTAATCATAGTCATTCCAACCACGAAATATTTTTTATATAGTCGAAACAAAGTAGAACTGACACCGATAACTTATGAAGAGTTGAACAAATGTCAAAAAACCACACACAATGAACTTCTTTGCATCCCGGAATCAGCAACAATTATTAACAAAGAAGCATCATGTGAACTATCGTTATTATCAGATTTGAAAAAAGAAACCATTCAAAACATATGTGAATTTCGATTTGTACCCAAGAAAAATTATTTTGTACAGATTCATCGAAACAACGAATACTATTGTGTAATTAACACACCGATTATGGTTACAGAAACAGGCCCAGAATCAAGAAATGACATAATTTCTATCACACAAAATGGCAAGATTAAAATAAAACCGGGTTGTACCATTAGAACCAATGAGATAAAAATAACTGCATTTAATACAATAGAATCACCAACACAAATACTAAGTCCAATTTTTCAACTGAACAAAGTAAACAAGAAAAATATTATCGAAATAACAGGAAATCTTTCACATTTAATGGACAGAAATTTCAGCATTGTGGTCCTAGAAAGCCATGACGACGAAATTATCCAAATTTCAAACAAAATTAAAGAGAGTATGGAAAAAGCGAAGGAAAAAATTTAAATTGATGATATGATTTACGATAAAAAACGAGAAACATATATCGCAATGTTCTTAACCACCTTGGGAATCGTTCTAATAATAATTTTCTATAAAAAATGTCTCAAATAAACATATCCAAAACTTTCTTCTTTTTCAGCCATGATCGCTCCATACCTATCAATTTTTTCACTCTTTTTACTCTCCACAAAATCCCAACCCGTAAATCATACTCCAAAGGAACCTAATGGAATTATTTTTGAAAGGTTGGGACATACATACGTAGCTACCAAAACATGGAACCTCATTCATTTCTACAATTTACGAGAATTATACATAACTCTGGACACTCTTAAATCAAACGTAATTGAGATAAATAATCTTTGCATTAAAAATAAAGATTTTATACATTGTGAACACAAAACAGACCGAATCAAAAACGAATTTTCTCGACTCACAAATGACGAACGCTTCTTAGAAAATGTTCAAACAACAATTACAGAAGATTTTAGACGATACAAAAGATATATTGTAAAAACAGAAGAAACAAAAACCAAACTAACATCAATGGACAGAACAAAACGTTCTATTAAAGATTTTTTAACGGATACAATTTTCGAAAAAGATTTAGAGGATAAAATCGAAAATTTGGAAAACAACATAAAGCCAAGACACCAAGACAATATCAAGGGAACATTTAACACTTATAAACAAGACGGCTTCATTATTTAATAACACCTTTACAGCACTCGACGGAAAAGTAAGGAACATAGATTTGACAGGGGAGAGATTTGACAGCTGTCAAGTGAACAAGTGTTTTTTTCCACTGCGTGTCTTTGGTGACTTTAAATATAAAAATAAAATATTTAAACTAAACTAAAACAAACAAAATTGATTTCATTTTGTAAATTAAATTAAGTGAAACCCAAAAAGCAAATTGGACCGGCGCTCAGTGCGATAAAATTTGAGTTTTTTCTGTGTTTCGTGTGCAGCAAACAAATAGCAACAACAACAATAAAACCACACCACCGGATTTACATACATTTAAGTGCGGGTTTATTTTCAAGCTTTGCTGTGCCATTATTTTGATTTGACTGTGAGATTTTTTTTGCATTTTGTCGGAAGATCTCGTAAGTTAAATTGAAACAAAATATTCCGGGTACGTAAGTACAAATAAATTGTGATTCTCGACTGAAGTGTGACAAATCATAGCGCATCGATAATCAACAATTTCATCACGTGGGTGAATGCAAATCAAAATACTGAGAGTTGCATAAACACAGGCGCTTTATCGTGCTTTTGGTGAAATTTGCTGGGTTTTCGCTCGGGAACAGTTTGCATTTGTTGTGACAAAGCATACTTTTGCCGTTTGAATATGGCCTAGCGGATAAATGCACACATTCTTTGAAACGTTTCAACGTGAATATTTTCATTGAGTGTGTGCGGAGCTAAATCGGATAAAGCAACAAAGTGAATTTGATTTACACTAATTCAATTAATGTTTTTTTTTTTCACTTTTTCTTCTTTTTTTCAACAGAGGGACGAAAATATGTCTGATTTGATTGAAACAAAGGAAAATTCAGAGGGATTAACTCCATCACAAGAGGATCGCCTGTTGAGTGAGCCAACCGATGTGAATCGTGAGGTTAACAAAGGGGAAGCGAGCTCAGGGCCTGACTCAAATCTGTCGGTGGTAAATTCGGAAACAAAACCGAATAAGGCAAAAACATCTCGCCCATACACCGGCACGATTAAGAAGGAGATCACAATCGCCCTCAACTCAAACACTGAGGCCACTGGTGTTATTAACATTGAAAAAAGTGGCAAACGCAATCGCACACGAACCAAAAATCAAAGAACGATTGCAAAAAAGAATGCCGATCCTACTTCTCGCTTGAAAAACGATGCCAACGCAACAACACCAAAGCGTGGCCGTGAGCAAGGTGGTACACCACCGAATGCTAGCCAGGCAACAAAGCGGATCGACATAAAATTGACTCCGAACACAGTACCACCGAAGGAAACTTCGTCGATTGGAACTGGTTTAGAGTCAAACATTGATGGTGATGGAAATAAATCGAATGATATGGTACCACCTGTCCCTGAAAAGGGGCGGTCGATTGGTTCCAGCTCATCGGTCCAAATCCAAACCCATCCAAATGATTCAGTACCACCTGTTACAAGCAAACAGTCGATTGGTTCTGAATCCAATATTATTGATTTAGGTGAAGACGAAGAAGATGATACGTATGCATCTGTGTCAAAACTATGCAAATGTGTTATCGATCAACGCGAGCCTGGATCAATGACACTGTTGGATCAAAATAGATTCGACAAACTAAACGCTGCATTGATTGATCTAATGATGTCACAAATCGGAAAAACCATCGTTCTCCCAGAAATGGATGATGTCCGTTTGCACATTGGCACCATGCGCGTTCGATGCATTAATCCACAAACCATTGAATGGTTGGAAAAATACGTTCCGACTATCGATGTGAAGAAATTGTGGAAGGATGCCAAATTGGTAGTGATCGACTTCAAGGATATACCGAAGCCATTCAAATTTAACGTTTGGATTCGTGGTATCAAAAAAAGTCCCCAGGATATTTTTAAATTACTGGAGGCTCAAAATGTAAGTCGAGGCATTACAACTAAAAGTTGGACTGTTTTGCATTCCAAATTCGAAAATGGTGGCACGTCGATGACCATTGGTGTCGGACACGATTCCTTTGAGAGTTTGGTGAACAATCCCAACTCACTGTACTGTGGCGTGAGCAGGGCAGTTTTTACAATGATCAAAAGTTGTAAAAAAAATCTTGCCATGCTTTCAAGTGACACTACTTCTGGTGATGATCAAGTCGAACAGATGGAAGTCGACCCAGCAGTAGAGGTTCACCAATAAAAGTTTGGTAATGAATGGCGTCCCAAAATATGACCAATCTCACATTAAACCAAGATAAATTTGATAGTTTTGACATCAATTCTAATTCGGATTTCAGTAATTCCGCTCCAATCCATGAAGATATCGATGTCAAACAGATTAACTTGCACCATGCAAAAAGCGCTACTGATCTTTTAGGTAATGCTTTGCATATGGCGCAAACAGTCAAATCAAAACTTATAATCTTGGTTCAAGAACCGTATATTCTCAATAATGAGATATGTGGTTTTGACTCGCAAATATGCAATGTTTTTTATTCACCGAAAGGGGAAAAACCCAGAACATGTATTGTTGCAACAAAAAATGTATCACTTACGCTACTCCCACAATTATGCAATGGTGATACCACTTCTGTGATTCTGAACACAGGCAAGCAAGGAATGAACGAAGAACTAATTCTAAGTTCTGCATATTTTCCTTTCGATTCATTAGAAGCAAGACCGGGTAAAATGGTCATCGATCTCACTGAATTTTGTTCAGTGACAGGTAGACCATTGATTCTGGGCTGCGATACTAATGCACATCATACTTTATGGGGCAGTAGCGACATAAATAAAAGAGGTGAAGAATTGATAGAATTTTTAACCTCAACAAATCTCGAAATTCTTAACCGTGGAAGAGAACCTACGTTCATCACGGAAGTAAGAAGAGAGGTTTTGGATGTGACCTTTGCTTCTCAAGACATAGTCGAGAGAATCAAAAACTGGCATGTCTCAAAAGAAGAAACGTGTTCTGACCACAGGGAAATTGTCTTTTCAATTGGAACTGTTGCTCCAGACACTACAATCTTCAGAAATCCAAGATTTACCAACTGGGATGGTTTTTTGAATTCTCTCAAAGGAAAATTGGATCAATTACTATGGCCGAATGAAATAGGAAATTTTCAGGAGCTCGACCAGGCCGTAGAAAGCCTCACGGGAGCGCTCCATGAATCATTTATTGAATCGTGCCCTGGTAGAATCCGCAAACCAGTCAAAAACCACTGGTGGAGCAAAAAGCTTAGCATTCTTAGGAAAGATTGTAGGAAACTTTTCCGTTTTTACCGGAAAAGCCCAGAAGACATGAAGTCCGTTAGATGGGAATCCTACAAAGCTAAGCGTAATGAGTACTCTTCACAGATAGCAATATCTAAGAAAAACTCATGGGTGAAATACTGTAACGAAATAGAAGGAGTTACAGCTATGGCACGTGTACACAAACTAATGGCTAAAGACACACTCAATATGCCAAGTGTACTACGACATCCGAGTGGTGAGTTAACAAACTCTCATGAGGAAGCAGCGAAACTGCTTTTAGAGACTCATTTCCCTGGAAGTGAGTCGATAAATGCGGAAGAAACTGCCGAAAGGTTTAGGGATTTGAATTTCCAGGAGGGTATTGTGTCAGATGAGATCGTCACTTTTGACAGAACTCTATGGGCTTTATCCTCTTTCAAACCATTTAAATCACCTGGTTATGATGAAATATTCCCAGTGATTTTACAAAAATCATGGTGCCTAATAAATACTCATATTATAGACATTTATAGGGCATCCATCAAGCTCGGTTATATACCAAAGTTATGGCAAAGAGTTAGAGTTGTCTTCATTCCAAAACCTGGCAAAGACGACTATACTCTGCCAAAGTCATTCAGGCCGATCAGTCTCACTTCTTTCCTGTTAAAAGGACTAGAACGACTAATCGAAAATTTTCTGAAGGACTATTTAAACAAAAATTGTCCATTGTATAATGGTCAACACGCATTTCAGCAGGGCAAATCTACTGAAACTGCTTTACACTCGCTATCAACGATAGTAGAGGAGACCATAGCTGAGAAAGAATTCGCGATGTGCACCTTCCTTGACATAGAGGGAGCGTTCGACAACGTTTCTTTCAAAGCTGTTGACGATGCTATGAGGAATCGAAACGTGGACAGGCAATTGAGAGAATGGGCTCAAAGTCTTCTTCACTCGAGAGCCATTACGTACGAAACTCATGGCAGAAGTGCAACCGTTTATCCCAAAAAGGGCACCCCCCCAGGGGGGTGTTCTTTCGCCCACGCTGTGGATCCTCGTTATGGACGAACTCTTGACTATTTTACATAATGAGGGTTTCGAAGTGATAGGATACGCAGATGACCTCACAGTCATATGCAGGGGAAAATTTTTGAGTACCCTATGCGAAAGAACACAAAGAGCACTAAAAATCATTGAGAAATGGTGTAAAAAAGTCGGTTTATCGGTCAATCCGAAAAAATCAGAAATTCTAGTTTTCACAAACAAAAGGAAACTATTAAACTACAAAGCACCCACCTTGTTCGGCACTGAAATTCCTTTGAAGAAAAGTGTTAAATTTCTGGGTGTTACGTTCACTCCAAATTTGAATTGGAGCGTTCATCTTGAGCATCGCATTAACAAATGCTTGAGAGTCTTCTGGGGCTGTAGAAGAGCCATTGGTAGAAACTGGGGCTTAACACCTCGGAACCTACTCTGGCTTCACTCAGCAATCGTAAGACCTATGATCTGTTATGGATCCTTTATTTGGTGGAAAGGAACTACAACTGCGATGGCACACAAAAGTCTGAGCCATCTGCAGCGGGTAATTTGTTTAGCGATTACGGGCGCAGCTAAAACAACACCTCAGCTAGCACTCGAATCGCTGCTAAACCTTCCATCCTTGGAAAATTTTATCCAGGCTGAAGCGCAAATTTCTGCTTTTCGGCATAAATCTATCATAAACCTGAAGCGTTCCCCGGCAAATGGTCACTCAGCTATTCTAAATAGACTCTTTGACTATGAGCCTATGCTTTTAGCTCCAACTGATAGAACAAAAACCTCCTATTTCTTTGAAAAAACTTTCAATGTGGTATTTCCACAGAGAAATTCACTGAATCAGGAGAGTGTGAGCGTCAGCACTCACACCGAAAAATGGTTCACTGATGCATCAGTGAACAAAAATGGTTCTGGCTATGGCATCTTCAATGCCACTACAGGATCAGAATACTGTGGTTATTTCGGCAACTTTGTCGATATATCACAGGCTGAGTTGGCAGCTATTCTGATTTGCTCAATTGAAATAGCAAAAGACAACATCAGCAACACGCCAGTTGAAATCTACAGCGATAGTCTATTCGCCCTAAAAGCGATAGACGCGCACAAAGTGGAAAATAAACTAGCAATTGAGTGTATCGATTTGTTGATACAAATCTCACGAAGAAGAAATGTGACTCTTCTCTGGTTACCTGCACACTCCCGCATCGATGGGAATGAAAAAGCGGATGCACTGGCAAAAAGAGGCACATTATCAATGATGTGTGGGCCTGAACCCTTTCTCCCTATATGCGAGAAGAAATGCAGATCCATATGTAATACGTGGTTGAAAGAAAACGTTAGAAAACGTTGGAACGGAACCACACAATGTTCTATCACCAGAAGTTTCATGGCTTCACCAAATGATAAAACCACATCTCAACTACTCAGTCTGGATAAACTGAGATTTAGTTACATAGTGGGAGTCTTAACTGGTCACATAAGACTAAATGCGTACCTGAGACGCATTCAGGTTAGAGACGACCCCGATTGCGATTTTTGTGGAAGAGGAGAGGAGACCTCTCTCCACTTCCTATGCAATTGCCCTGCACTAAGCCATATCAGAAGAAATATTTTCGGTATGGATATGCTTACACCAAACGAAGTACTTAATTTTCACATCAGTAAAATTTTTAACTTCGTCTTTAAGTCAGGCAGATTTTCCACTTTGAGAAGTACTCATACTGCCGACTCATCCTTTTTTACAAGACGATCCAGTAGGAGCAATGCCTCAAATGCATTGCGGCCTTCTGGAAATGTCACACAGTAAATATGGATGAAAAAACACTTGGGAATACAGTAGTCAAATCTTTTCTCTTAAACGGGTAGTTTTGCAAAAGGTCTCATGACCTACGCGACGAGCATCCTTGCGGTGCTCCCCACTCAAATCCATACATCCATACAAATGCGATCAACATGAAACTTTCAGAATCTTATTTTTTCTCCAAAAAATGAAACCTCAGAAAATTTGAAGCCAAAAGGAATCGGTTTACGGGTACCTCTCATACAAAATTGTAGAAGTTTTAGTTAAAGTGACCGATTTTTCACTTTATTTTCATTATTATATTTTCGCTGCCTTTATTTCAAGAAAATTCACAAAAAATAACCAAAAGTACCTACATACAACGCAGGCCAACGGTACGGAAAAGTTCGGGATTTCCAATATAATTCTTTTTATTTAGTCGCAATTAGTACTCCACCACCACGTTGAAATAGTCTGTCCCTACGAAAAACGGAATACGAATCGTCAAAAAATTCGGCGTCATAAATATCTTTTCTGAGCCACGTCTCAGTCAGAATTATCGTGTCGTCTTCGGGACATATACATGAAACACTTCTGATAATACATTTTGGTGAGAAAAGCGCAATCATCCGATGTGACATGATTTACTACTATCTGTTGTGATAGCCTTGTTGATTTCCTGCGCAGCGATCGTTGTAGCAGTAACGATGGCAATTCGGCTTCGCTTGCAAGCAACAGCTCTTCTGGCAGAGATTTGTACGGGTTTGCCGGCTGTTGCATTTTGGTGTGATTCCTCGTCCGTTGGGCACACAGTTTCCCAGTCCCGTTCTTCGGTTTTGGCCGATCAATTTGTGAGGGTTGCCGATTTGGTTGGGATTTAGCCAGAGCCGGTGTGATTTTTAGCTGGTTGGTGGAAACGAATAAATGAAAATACAAGCAAACAAACATTTTGTGATGATCTAATCTGCGATTAGATTGATTAAATACATTCCCGAAAATTCTAATTCGTTTCAATGAAATTTATCAATGTTAAATCAATGCATGAAATTAAGAAACAACCAGTTGCATTCAATCCTGGATCCAATTGTTTGTCGCCTATAAAAAATTACATTACATTCAAATCTGCTTTTCGAACATTTCTTTTCTAAATTTATACTTAAAAATCACAGTAGAGATTTTATTTAGAACGAAACCAAATAATACGAAATTATTTACCATTTTTATTCTGAAAAAATGTTTGTTTGCTTATATTTTCATTTATTTTGTTTTGTTGCTTCACATCGGCGAATTAATTTGACATTTGTATCGAACTTCAAGTCAGTGTTTCCCGATGAATTCGATTTGACAATAATGTCAATCCGAATTTGATATTCCTAGACATTAATGTTTGTGCTATCGTTTGTGATCGTTTGAGCCATCTCAAGAAAACAATAAAAAAAAATTTGTCATCAATGTTCAAGAGTGAACAAAAATATATCAAGCATAAATTCACTTGCAACGTCATTCGTACTTAGCATTTACATACCAATTATATTCATTCTTATTGCATCAGCATTTTACATTGTATCAGCATTTTTTATTGTATCAGCAAATTTGTTCAATTAACCATTTTTCAATGAATCGAATTAATTAAAGTAAAACCGTGAGCAATACAAGACGTCTTTTATTTTAGTTCAACTTGTTAATGTAGAGCTTCTACAATCAAAATATAATTATTTAATCAACAAAACATCGTATTCAGTTGGACTATCGACAAAAAATGGATGTGTTGCAAATCATTATTGAATCAGTATGGTAGTGTTGGCCTTCGAACACATTCGAACACTTGTTCGACCGTTCGTCAACATAAAAAGAAACTGTTTTGTTCGTTCGTTCGTTCGAAAATGTTTTGTTCGTTGTTCGGTCCGAACAAAGTTTTTTTTTCATACAAAATTTAATGTTGTTCGGACCGAACAACGAACAAAACATTTTCGAACGAACGAACGAACAAAAAAATTTTTTTTCAATTTCACGAACGAACGAACGAACAAAATAATTATTTTTCAATTTTACGAACGAACGAACGAACAAAACAGTTTCTTTTTATGTTGACGAACGAACGAACGGACGTTCGAAGCCAACACTACAGTATGGTTCATGTCACGAGGATGCGAAAACGGCTGGCTTAATCGGCAAAACGGACCGTGATGTCACTTGTCTATGGCAAACGGTCCAAGATAACCTTTGGTAAACGTTTCCAAAGGGACAAAGGCTATGTGAAGCGTTTAATTACACGTTTAATTTGAGACCCTAGGACAGCCAAAGTCGTCGCTCAATTTAAACCGGTTGATAAATTGACGAGAAGTTTCACGTCGGTTAAGGCAGATCCATGTTGATTGCAGAGTGCATTGAGTTGACATGGACCATGATTTGAAACGTAACTAGATCATTTGATGCTAAATGGTAAATAATTCAAAATTGACTTCAAAGATAAGAATATTAAGTCGTCAACTCGTGGATGGCTACAACAAAGCAGAAAATCAAAATTTGCAATAAATAAGTGTAAACATCACAGATACTTATCATTATTTCAATACACATAAAAGAATGTATGGAAAACAATTCGTCCGTCTTTAGATTTTGCTGTGTGATTCGTGAGAGATGAGTTGAATACCACGTAGGTGGTTGAGACCAGGGACAGCCCCGCTCGTGTTTGTTGCAATCAGCAGCAACCCACAGAATGGCACCTGGGCAATATGCGTTGTCCTTGATGAATTCGTCCGCTTGAGATCATGGATCGGGTTTAACGGCAACATGAAAATCGCAATTTCATAATTGATGTGGGTAGTATCAAGGTGTTCTCGTGGAGAACATATACAAAAGTGAGGTTACCTGGATAAAAAATTGACTAGGCGGCCAGGTAGTCATTTGAGTTTGCAAAGCGATCCAAAAGTGGTGTCCGCCATTCTGCGAACCGATGATGCAAAATTCGTCTTTGGGGTCGCTGCTGTGAACAGTTCCGGCACCATGTTCGCCATTTTGCACATTTGAGGAATTGGAGCCTCGCGCACCAACTTCATGTGCTTGTCATTGACCTTGAATTGTTCACTGTGTCTTAATGAACGGCCATGATGAATTGAGATTTGGTCACTAACTGTTGGACAGTTAGCGTTACCGTTGATGATGTCGTAGAAAAAAGCCAATGACGCATTGACACGTCGACGGCGAAGACTAATCAGGTTTTGTCGCTGTGAATTTTGTGGAATGGAAGCCATACCATGGCGCAGTAATCAGGTTCAAGTCTGACAATCGCTGCTCGTACGGTGTGATTGAGTATTGGTTATGCACGGATGGGTATTCTCGACGAGCGTACATAGTGAATTGGCGTTGCACGGATTCGATTTTGTCGCTGTGAATTTTGTGGAATGGAAGCCATACCATGGCGCAGTAATCGAGGTGAGATTGAACTAATGCAAAATACAGCGACTTTAGTGTGGTAACGTCGGTGATATCATGGCAGAAGCGTTTGACAAAGCCAAGTGCAGCCGTTGCCTTCGAAGTGACCATATCGATGTGTTTGGCAAAAGATAGATTACCAGAAAAATATCAAAAATGATCAGAAGAATATTCAAAATGATCAGAAACTTTCATAAATCCATGTTGGTTGGGCGAGATGCGATCACGAACAATTTCAAGCAAATTTACGTTGACGAGGTGCTCGAAGAATTTAGCGATCGTTGGTAGTTTTGCTATGCACCTGTAGTTTTCAATGTCCGATCTGGGACCCTTTTTGAATATGGCTGATACACTCGATCGTTTCCACTCGTCGGGAAAAATGCCAGATGAAAGCGACTCATTGAAGATCTTAGTCAACGGGCTAGCAAGCGTCGGAGCACACTCCTTCAAAATTAAAGGATGAATACCGTCGGGTCCTACACCTTTCTTGGTGTTGACCTTCGTCATTCCAGTCATGACAAAATCTAGGTCAAGCTGGAAACAAGAGGTGTTCTCAGACTGCGGTGACGGTTGATTATTTGGTGTCGTTGATGTGGAGTAATTGCTCCCGAAGAAGTCCGCAAATAAATTTGCTTGCTCTGTTTCGCTGGATGTCTTTGTATCGCCGAATCGCATGGTTTTTGGTATGTTATCAGTGCTCTTTTTAGAGTTAACATATTGCCAAAACGAAGAAGGATCACTTTTCAAGTTTGATTTCATTTTGTCGACATACTGATTGTATAGTTCCGTGTTTTTGCACTGAATTCCTCGTGCAATTCTTCAAATGACTGCTTGTCTTCGGTCAGCTTCCAGTAATCCCAGGCTTTTTTCTTTAAGTTCTTGAGATGCCGAAGTTGTTTGTTTTTCCATGGGAATTTTTGGTTATTTTTAATGTGTTACAATTGTAATAGCTATTACAATCGTAATAGACATATAAAGATTATGTTAGATTTCTGGCATTACCGTTAATGTTAGGTAACATGTTAATATTGTAACGGACGGTTCAAGTAATAGCTATTACATCCGATATTGTTGTCCGATTTATTTGTCCGATCGGCGCGACATTGTTCATCTTGTTCATCATTGATTTACCACACTACTTGGTCAATTCGAATCTACAATCATTTGCCGATGACACACGCTTCTCGATGCAAATAAATCGAATTGAGGATTGTATAGCACTGCAAGAAGATCTAAACAGAATTGTTGAGTACTTCAAACGAAACCGTATGGCATTGAACGTCAACAAAACGAAACTTGTGTCATATCATCGTGGAAAATTGAAGTTTGCTTCTGTTTACTCCATTGGAGAGTCAAAATAATAAAGGACCTCGGAGTGGTTTTGGATGAAAAATTGAATTTTACACCACACATCGAATACATAACTGCCAAAGCTAAGTCAAGACTAGCATGGATCAAACGCTTCGGAAGAGAGTTCAATGATCCTTGGACCATAAAGAGACTCTTTTTCACATTCGTATTACCGATTATTGAATACGGATCACAAATATGGTGCCCATATACTGACGAGAAAATTGCCAGAATCGAATCAATTCAAAAGCAATTCCTACTATATGCACTAAGAAAAATAAAATGGCCACACAAGTTCAAAAAACCACCATATGAATGTCGATTGCTGGAATTGCAAATGACTACGCTCGAAGAACGAAGAAAAATTGCACAAATTTCAACAATTCACAATGTGATATGTGGACATACATCATCGAAGCAGATTCTGAACAGTATATACATTAGAACACCGAAACGTTGGACAAGAGAATCAGATTTCCTATCGTTACCAACGCGTCACAGTGATTACACCAAGTTTGAGCCCATCAACTATATGCTCATTACATACAATAAATTTTATAAATACTGTGTACCTATAAAACCACCAAATATTTCAGATGAATTTAACATTAGTACAATTCCAGTCTGTGATACTTATTTAATTGATTTCAATACAAGTACAGATACTGTTAGGCATAGAGTAAATGAATATTTTAAGAGAAACAGAATTTGGAGAGATTGAAAAATTGAAAAATTGTGAAATTGTAAATATAACTTGTTTTTTATATTTTTACAAATAAACCACCTCTGGCGAAGAAACGCTATATGGTGCAGAATAATAATAATAATAATACAATTGTAATAACATTATAGGAAATTTTTATTAACGTAATGCTACTACCTATTACATTTTTAATGCCGGTAAATCTGTAAGCAGTTGTGTTACGAACAACAGAGCCGATCGCTTCGTTTCTGTTGCCACATCGAAATTGGCGCTCCTTATCATTTAATATGCATCATGTTATAAATGCGAGTTACGTCATCAATAGCTCGGGAATCAATCGAAATGAAACACACGAAAAAATATTCAAGTAACGAAACAATGTGATATAGATCCATTGATATATATGAAACAATGC